ATGATGGGGAGTGGAGGCAATGCCTGGCGGAAGCTTCAGAGATGCAAACAGGAACCCGCCTTCGTGAGCTGTTTGCCACGCTGCTTCTGTTTTGCGAGCCATTGCAACCAGGGAACCTGTGGATGGAATTTTGGCAGCATATATGTGATGACCTTCCCCAGCGCTTGCAGATCATGGGACGCCGCGACCCTACGGAGGAGGACCGCTATGACTATGGCCTTTTCTTACTCAACAAGGTCTTGAACGAGTTGGGCCGCAGCTTTGCTGACTTCCCATCGATGCCAATGTACCGAACCGACTGGGATGCACATGTCGACAATCCTCTGATCACCAAACAGCTTGACTACGCCGAGCGTGAGAAGGCTGAGCATATGATTCTGCTGCTCAATGAGGAGCAGCGCAATGCCTTTGACAGGATCATGCAGAGTGTCAATGAGAGTCTGGGCAAGGTCTTTTTCGTGAATGGACCCAGGGGCACCGGCAAGACTTTTGTCTACAATACAGAGTATATCGTCCTCTGCTGCACTTCCTCTGGGATAGCAGCATTTCTCATGCCTGGCGGCCATACAGCTCACTCAACGTTCAAGATCCCAGTCGAGGGGATCAACAAGGAGAGCTACTGCAGTATTCCAAAGAACAGCCAGCGTGCCGATCTCCGCAAAGTCCGGCTCATCATTTGGGATGAAATTGGCATGCAAGACCGGTTGGCCATCCAGGCCCTCGATCGCACACTCCGTGATCTCCTCAATGATGATCGTCCATTTGGCGGCATCACTGTGGTCTTTAGTAGTGATTTCCAGCAGATTCTCCTTGTCGTTCCGAAAGGATCTCGCGAATAGATTGTGGACGCATGCATTCAGCAGTCTTACATCTGGCAGCATGTCAAACTTTTGATCCTCCATCAGAACATGCGCTTAGAGACAGAAGGCCAGTCAGAACGAGAATTTGCTGCTTGGCTGTTAGACATTGGCCATGGACGTAACGTGGATGATGATGGCAACATTCTTCTCCGCCTGCAGATGAGAATCGACTCTTCAGCCTCATTGGTGGACTTTGTCTATCCAGGGATCTCAAGCCAAGCAACCCTCCACCGCCTCCCAAATACTTCCTTAATCGGATGATACTTGCTCCATGCAATGCAGATGTTTTCCAGGTCAACGATGATGTCTTGGGGAGGATGGTTGGCGAGCAGCATGTATTTTACAGTGCAGACAAGATCATCCATGAAGCCGGGGCAGATGGAGATGAAGAGGCGATCCCCATTGAGTTCTTAAGGGCTCTCAATCCATCCTCGCTTCCTCCCGGTGAACTCGCTCTCAAAGTGGGTTGCCCACTGATTCTGCTGATTCTGCTTCATAATCTTGCGCCTGCCCGTGGCCTTTGCAATGGCACACGGATGGTCTTACTCAGGATGTCAGAGAGAGTTTTTTAGAGGTGCACCTGGTAGGAGGGGACCACATTGCACTCATTCCACGTGTTACACTCACACCCACAACCTCTGACTTCACTTTCAAATTCAGCCGCCGTCAATTTCCTGTCAGACTTGCGTTCAGTCTCACTATCAACAAGTCACAAGGCCAATTGGTCAAATTCGTTGGCCTTGACCTTTGTGCCCCTGTGTTCTCCCATGGCCAGCTCTATGTAGCCCTCTCACATGCTACTTCAGATCTTAGAATTAAAGTACTTCTTCCTGATAATGCAGAGTCATCTCGGACGAAAAATGTAGTGTACCCAGAAGTATTACTAGATTAATGTCATTCTATTTCAGGGTTGTCTATTGTATATTTGAGATCTTGGCCTGATTGCTTTGATCATTGAGGATACGACTAAGCCCAGCGTGGTGCAGCTGGCAACAAATATATTTGCTGATTTTCCTTGCAATGAGGGTCGCCATGCAGATATTTTAAAACCACATGATAAATTACGACAATTCACGGTGTATGTACACTATTTTTCTCATGAAACAGGTATGAACTTCTATGAACATCTATTATATGTTTTGTGAACCATAGAATATTTTCTTAATAGCACACTTTTAATTCTGCTTAACGTTGAAACTTTCAAGGTATGGTGGTCCATTTGCACTTTTAATAATCCTGGATAGATAAAGGTGTGTTTCTGTGTAATTTCAACCCATTTGGTTGCAAAGAACATTTTTCCACTCAAAATATATTGACTTTAGACGAGCGTAAGCATGCTGAGTCAGCCTTGCAGTCATTTTATTCTAATGGTTCCTGGAGCTCGCCATAGGTAATGATGCTCCTGAATATTATTTTTCTGACTATACTGCTGATTTGTGGTAGGCTTGGCACCCCAGATTGAACACCCCACCTCCACGAGCATTATCTCCAACTCAGCTCTTTTCGAAACAGGGGAAGTCAACGGTCTTCAGAATATACACAGACAAACATTGTTTTCTTTCTCTCCAGATCCTGCCATTGCATCTCACCGAGTTCCATTTTCAGTTGGCTATCAAGCATGGAATATCTTGGAATCCTCTCAAAAATGCCAACAAGGCCAAACTGACTGGTTGGGCCGAAACAACCATCATTCTTTCTTTTATCCTACCACTTCACACCAAGTCCTCTGCTTCCGCATCGCTCTCTGCTTTTCTCTACTTTTGCATCATGAGCTCTTCTGTCGCCTTCATGGGGGTTGCAGTCCTTGAGAACCCAGGGTGATTTCTCCTCGCGTCATTGCCTTTGACATGGTTGTGTACGTTGGCAGCCCGAGTCTTGACAAGATCAGAGGTGCAGTCTGCTACTTCAAGGAGCCGAGAGACTGTGCAGAATACCCTGACATTGGAATGTACAACATCACTGTTACAGTGTGGTCTTTTCTTGCCTTCCTCTCGAGACAGATATCTGAGCCAACAACAGGTTGCCAAGATGACACCTGGCATTGAGGTCTATGCTGAGTCAGAGGAGGAGGCAGCCCAGTATATGTTTGTTGGAGACGTCAAAAAGGTGTATGATATTCATTCTGACTCTCTTGCTCATTGCTCATGACTATAGTTGTATCTTCTGGAAGCATTGGAGGCCGCCAGTGAGGATGGTCCACGCCGGTGGACAATCAACCCTGCCCAGCAGATGACGGTTCATGTCTGCTGTGTCCCCCCCAAGGATGACCAGACTGCGGCAACGTTCCTCGCCGAGCCTGAGCAATACATTCTGAGCAATACATTTTGGTGTATGCAGATGCCAAGAAGAAGGCGGACGAGAGACGGGTGATGTTGCTCCCCATGTGGAATTCTCCCTCTTTGGCTACATCCCTGACTCTCCTCGCTTCAAATACACCAAGAAACCCACTCCATACACAAACAAATATTCAGACTTTGTAGGCTTCCTTACTGGGATTTCGAGCGCACTGGAGGGCACGAAAATGGTGGATAGGTTTTGCATTGAAGTTGACACAATTTCTTTCATGGGCACCTATATAAAACCTGCCAAGCCCACTCCCGGCACGTCATTGTCTCAGTCTCAGGGTAGTTTTAAGGGTACATATATTCTCTTTTTCTTCATTGTCGAATACTGGATGTTTTAATTCAGGGAAAGCTGCCTCGAAAAAGGCTACCTGGGATTACAACTTGGAGTCCGGGTCAGCTAAGAGGCGCCACCTCAAGGATGGTGCCGGGCCATCCAGCAGCCCCAGCCCAGCCCCCTAAATGACAACATTCACCACAACGATTCCTTAACACTCCTCGCCCACCTCTATACCCTGACATTGACACTCCTACACTGACATCTTGATTTGATATAATACTTACTGTGTCTTCGACTATTTAGTTCACCTGCCGTATATTCTACTTATACTACGACCTGACCACTCTATTACCACTCTTATGAACAACTTGATGGTTGACTTCGACGTGGACCATTGTTATCTTTGATTTCATACCTCGGTCTGAAGACAAAAGATTTCTTTGATACTCTGTCCATGCGGAGCACGGGTTCCTGCTAGTCTCATTTCAAAAGAACGCTGATGGTTGCCTGTCATCAGTCGGCTATTGCGCTCGACACCTCCCGCACCCTCCCGCTCCTTGAGCTCGACGATGAGGACAATTACTCCTCTTCCTGGACCACTCCAAACCTCCGACCCTTTCTCATTAACAATTACTCAACTGATCTTACAACCTCTTCAGTTAGATTTCTCAAAGGATGTTTTCAATGGCCCATTTACATAAAGCAGCGGCAATGGGGGCAACGCAGTCGAGGTGGATCCATCAGGATGGTGTGCGGGATTGATGGAGGAGAGCTAAGCTAAATTGACCAGAGTTGTCACATCAGGTCACAAAAATATACGGCCAACCTGGCAACAAAATGAAACTGAAATGAGCGTGAAATGAGGTTGAAATGGGCTACTCTGAAGGTCCCTAATGCAATCAGGCTCACGACGTGGTTATGTCTAAGTACATTGGTTTGATCCGATCGGCGGGTTGAAACTCCGCCCTGCATCCATCAGTGATGTCCGAGGGGCTTTCAATTAGATGTTTCAAAGGTTTCTCCGAAAAGTGGGGCTTTCATTGGTTTCTTAGTAGAATAATCCGTAGACGATGGAGCTGACAATGCTGTCAGACAGATTGAACATTGTTGGCATGATTGATGGGATCGTTCTCGGGCTGGTTTGAGGAAAGTGTGAATTGCCAAACGTAGACATCCCGGTTCACTGCAGGAAGAATTGCATCGAATACGAAATGAAAACAGCAATTATAATTACTACACAAGTTGAGTACAATCATGGTCGGTATAAAATTTCAAACATCTTCTACTATTCAAGGGCGGCCCGAATTGTTCGGAACAATGCAAAATTAAAATCGAAATCAACCGTGGCTATCCGCCGACCGTATACACGTACTCGTCTCGGTAGATGTACCAAGGACCGTACATGTGCAGAGTGGCGCGAGTCGGGGACATACATAGCCAAACAACTCAACACCTAATGCCCAAATAGGCAACTCCTCATCATCGAACCCATCCCTGGCTACATCCCGTGCCTAATGGGGCGCTGTGGCCGAGTGGTTAAGGCGACAGATTCGAACTGTCGTCGTCTATCTGTTCCGGTTTCCGGGCGCAGGTTCAAATCCTGCCGGCGTCGTATATTCTTTTCGTTTTCAACTATAAAAAAATGCGTTTTCCTACTTTTTGCAACCGAACGTTCGAAAAAAATCGATCCGGTGGGGGGGCCATTGCCTTGAAATTATAGGTGCCAGAGAAGGTCGCTAGATCCCCACAAGAAATCGAAATTCGGGTTTTTGATCAAACTGACCGCGGGTCATGGAGGACCACCAATGGAGCCTGTCAGAAGTGGTCTGGCAGAAGAGACAAGCGTCGCGCACTCTCAGCAATGAGTACAAAAACAATCGTGGAAGTAAGAAGCTCAGTATCCAACCGCATTTTAACAATCCGCTCCAGGAACCTCCACCTCGCCCTCGAAGATCGTCGATGATATCTAAAGCCCCCATTAATAGTATGTATACAACCCTCCTCTAACATACATACATCATAAGCATAAGAAAAAAGTCGTTAAATGTCGTGAAATCAAGTAGGATCCAAAGGATAATGATATATTTTCTGGAGGAAATGCCAAAGCTTCTCCGCGCCCCGCAGGAGCTTTTCAAGCATGAGATCCATGTCCACCTCAGGCCAGGTGATGTTGAAACGGAGAGGCTGTAACAGAGCGACGGATGTAGACGGCTCTGCCTTGGTAAAGGTTGGTACGGCCCGACGAGTCTCCACAACGGAAGGCGTGATTGCGGTCGTTATAGCTGCCGGAACGGTACTGCTCGGGATGGCCGAAACAGATTCAGTAAATTCCGAGGCAGACTCCGTGTCGCTGTGGCCCGGGAACCAGGGCCACCTAGTTGCCTGGAAGGCGGTGGATGTGATGGTGACGGGCTCAGGGTGGCTCCATCTTGAGGTCGAGTATCCTTGCAGTGAATTCGAGAGCTCGTAGACTGCCAAATTCAACCGAACAAGATATACGGAGCCGAGGATGAGGACCGCCCACGATACGACGAGTATCGTGAGTGGTCCAAAACTGTTCGGTATAGGCAAGAAAGAGTGGACAGAACTGCGCGCTGGTCGGATGTTCAGAGATATGTGGGGGTAGAAAAACGAGTGCAATGAGTAATGCAGTAGCCTTCGCCCGGAACTAGATCCCACAGATTGATGGTGGGAGAAATTGGAACGCAAGGAGAAAATCTCCAGCCCTAAAGGGAGTCAGAATGTAATAACCGGAAGAAATAGCGCAACACTTGCCTGGATTCCCGTCGATATTGACCTCCAAGCGTCCCACGGGTATCCCGAACGACGGCAAGTACACATCGAATTGTGTCTGGTCCTTGGCCTTCATTTTGCCCTTCTTGTCCGTGCCAGACAACGGTCCGCCAACGTCCCTGACGACGTAATCAACCACAATCTGTCCGCCACCAGCCGCCCCGACCCGCAGCTTGACCCAGCTAACCCACTCCTGCCCGCTCATCTGCTCAAACGGCAGGCCAACGCCAGCCTCCTGCTGCTTCACCGCCACACTCGTCTCGTACAGCACTGGCACATCGTCCACGCTCACGCTCACAATCTCCACCTTCGGCGGCCCGATGTCCGCCGGGACCGACCCGCCCTCGGCGTGCTTCGCCAGCCCAAACTCAAGCCAGTCCGAGTCTGAATCCACGGGCGCCGCGAGACAGACGCGCACTGCATAGGACGCGGGCATGGGTGCAAGCCGGCTCGACGGGCTGTCGGGCATCACAACGAGCGGGGTCACGTCCGCGACCACACTCGGGATCATTAGGACGCCGTCGCGCTTCGGGCGCGACGGGACCATCCCGAGGACAGACATCGCGCGCGCGGTGGTCGACGGCACGCGGTCGCGCGACGTCCCCACGCTGCTGGGAGTCCGCGGGCGGCTTGGCGGCGCTAGCTTCCCATTCACGCTCATGCCGTTCGCCGCAGAAGCGAATGCGATCCCAGGCTTGACCGCGATCCGCGCACGCTCCATGCACTTTGTGAACTCGCCACGCTGGAGCACCGTCTTGCTCGCGCTGGGCCCGCGCTGGTACGACTCGCCGTTGACGTTTACCTCGACGGTACACGGTGCGCTCGCGGCGACGTCGTTGCGTACGAGGATGGCGACTGTCTCGTTGTCCGCGGCGAGGACGGTGAAGCGGGGGATCACGATCGAGTCCGGGTCGACGGGTGGCGACTGCGTGTCTGCGTCGGTCTCTCCGCGTACGGGCGAAGAGTTGCGCGAAGGTGCGGGCACGGACGCAGGCCGGGGACGGGGAGTCACCAGCACGGTCCCCGATATCCGGAACGGAAAGGAGTTTTTCGACGCGGGGAGAGTCAGCTCGTTCATATTGACGTGGATGGTGACTGGAACCCCCGGGGGGCGGGGCGTCGGGTCTAGGGACGGCGTGGAAGACGGAAGAAGGGAGACTACAGATGACTCGATTGAGGTAGTTTGTGATGCGGAGACGGAGGAGGGCCCCGAGCCTTCGAAAGAGTACTCGGGAACGTTGTGTACAGGAAGGGGTCCACGGAGAAGAGAGGACGAGGACGAGGCCGGACTCTGGCGAGAAATAGCCGAAGGCCCTCGTTCCGCAGATAGGAAGATCTGAGGCCCGTTTGAGGAGCTCGACTCCAAAGAATCGTGTCTCGACGGGGGCTCCGGTTTGGGAGGAGCACCGACGTCAAATCCTGTATAACCAGCACCTCCGCCCACCGCCCACTCGTTGGTTCCCCCAGGGATCCAAGATATGTCTGATCCCTTGGCCTCCAAACTAACGTCCATCCCGAGCATCGTGGCCACACCAGGGAACCAAACGCCCTTACACGTCCCCTTGTACTCCACATTCATCACTATCCCGTCACGCTGGTACTCCGGATCCCACATTTTGCCCAGGACGGCGCACGTCATCTCGCCCTTGACGTCCTTGACGCCCACGCGCCGCCGCCCGTCGTCGCCAGCCCCCACGACCTTTGTCGGCTTTGCCCACCGCACGCGGATGCGCTCCGCGCTGGGAAACGTGCCCTGGATCCCGCACCCCTCGGAGAAGCCCGTGGTGGACGAGTCGCTCGACTCGTCGTCAGCGATGTTGCCATACGAGTACGTGCCGGAACGCGACTGGCGCGATGACGTCGCGCGCGTGACGTGCGGATCCGAAGTGAGGTCCCACGAGCCGCCCTCCTCGTCCGTGGACGAGAGCGATGCGAACGAGGCCGACGCGGCCGTAGGTGGGAAGATGCGCAGCCGCACGTTGTTGTGCAGACACCGCGGAGTGGGGATGGAAAGCTATGCGAGTCAGCGCTGCGCCGGAGCAGAAGAATGGGGGACACTACCAGATACGGGGACCTCGGCGGGCGAGAGGCGTAGGGCACCCACATGTCGATGGCCGCCATGAACTGCACCGTGTTTCGTTCTACGATGGAAGCGCGGCGGATGCTGCCCGAGGACCGGGAATAGACGTCGCTGTCCTGAAATCGCCCCGGGAACGCCTTGGGGAGGACATACGAGATGTTATAACCGCTGACTAGGATGTGCCCAGTGTATTTGTTGTCTACAGGCGGGGTACTGCTTCTACTAGACCCGTTGGACTTGCTTGATCGAACGGAGCCGGCTACGGAGGCGCTGGTTGCGGGTGGGGACAGTCCAAAGGTAGCATGGTATGATTCCGACGAGCGGCTGGGAACTATGCGAAAGTCAGCATTAACACCGGAATAGGGTCAACAACACACGGTTGAGTGCCCGCGCTGCATTGTGAAGAAGCGGTGACAAGTCTGACGAAAAGTCGTACGGAACGGAATTGTTGTCTAGTGGATGAACCTGTGAAGTCAGGATTTTAACGCTTTCCTCTGCACAGAAAAGTCAGCGACGCCGCATACGTGAATGAAAACTGACCTGGGAACAGCGGAATGGTCGATCCGGGGGTGATGATGTCTAGTGGCAGGGCGATCTGCAAAAAAATTACTTCTGGGCGGCAGAGGCGCGAATTCGTCCCACCTTTAGGTACATCTTGATGGAAGCACCATCGTCGCCGTGCTTGGCCTTTCCCTCAATCGCTACACGCGTCACAACATTCAGCTTTGGTGAATGCGCGCCCTGGGTGACCGTAGGAGAGTAGGAAGTGCCTGAGGACGTGGTATTGAACACGCCAGAGAGTACTGGGCGGAGCGGGGTAGTTGTGGAGTTTGTGGTGGCACTTGTCGGAGGACTATTGGGTCTACTGTGTCTCTGCGAAGTTGGAACAGGCATGCCGCCCAGAGGCTACCAATGTGGAGTCGCGTCGCGTCTGAAACGCAAGTACAAGTACAACGCGGGATACGGAAATCGTTGGTCGATGGAGTTGGGACCGTGCGGTTGTGGGGATATATGGCGAGTAGGTAAAGGTACAACGAGAAAGGAACAAGTAAACTGACCTAAACTGACAGTCTTTTGTCCACGACGGAAGCAGAAGCGGGCGACACCCGAATCAAACAGGGTCCAACAACCACAATTCGCCCAAAATGGTCATTCGCCCTCTGAGGCGGTCAGACGCCGCCTCGGGCCGTATGCCTTCCCGTACCAGTTTGGTCGACACATAGTCTCGACCGCCCGGATCTTGCAGTGTTTCAAGGATGTTAAGCATTACTGAATTCCATTACTCCGTATGCAGAGCACTGAACTTGAATGTACTCCAAACAGACCATGGTATTCAAGCCTTAGCCAATGGGGACATTTCACCAGATGCAGATTTCGCCGGCCGTATACTTCTTCATACTCCGTCCGAGCCCTCTAAGGCTTGGACGAGCACAGCTAATATGCACATCCTTCAACCGAGCGATCTGCTGGCACAGCTGCGAGGAGCCAGAGGAAGGAGGCTGCCCGACCGGCCACCATCGTGAGCGGAGCATCGACTCAAGCGACGCTTCTGCAAAATCCCCGTTTATCGAATCCCAATGAATAGTTCTCGCGGTACTGAAGCCGCGAAGTGAGCTATTCTCGATGCAGCAGGAGCACAGGCAGAGCCTGAGGTATGTGAGAGCCGGGGTGCATCGGAGGACATCAATCAGGTCCTCGGAGCATATGTCGGATAGCGTCAAGTCGAGGGACCGGAGATC